ACAATAGTCATTAATGTTCGGTGTGTACATAACAGGTGGAGGCCGTGTGGACAGTGTAAATGGATGAGCATGTGTGTGTGTGTGTGTGTGTGTGTGTGTGTGTTTGTTTGTTTGCTGACAAGTCCCATGTAGAAATAAGGGACTTATTAATATATGATGCACAGATTTGTCAAAGTAAATATGATTCCAACAAAATAACAAAATATTATATTGTATATTTAGGATATACATACATACATATATATATATATATATATATATATACAGTATATGTATTTATATATGTCTTATTGCAGTAGTTTACAGCCACTGTGACCACGACCTCTGTCTGACCCGTCTGTTGCACCGTGAAGTTGACCTCCCATCACAGGGTGTGTGGAGCAGCTAAGTAACTGCAGACGGGGGCAGTTAGCTGTAACATATTAGCTCATTAGCTAATCAGGCTGCACGTCCAGAGGAGCTCATGCCTGACCGTGTCACTATATTTATGATTTACACCCAGGAATCCACCGGCTGTGTGTGAGCTACTGTTGTTAGGTCACCGTTGAATAAACCACACTTTTCATATTATGGGATGTGTCACAGCTGCACATCATCATCAAACCAAACCTGTTCTGTACCAATGGAGCCTTTGTTCCTTGTTCTGCCCAAACAGAACAGGACTGTTGGACGAAGAACACATCATGAATCAGAATGAATTAGCAAAGTGGTTCTCTAAACTGTCATGGGAATGAATTAGCAAAGTGGTTCTCTAAACCTGTTCTGGAGCGCCCCCTATTGTAGAAAACCCTGTTGTTAGTCCACATTGTTGACACATGTACAGCCATTGCTCAAAATCTCCACTGAACTTTATGTAAAAAATTATCACACAATTAATACAAAAAAAAAACCCTGAATTGTCCACTGCCTGAAACAGGTCCACGCCCCCCACTTTAGAAACCAAAGACTTGGCAAATTCTGCATCTATCTTCACAGAGTGAACACAAACCAGATGTGAGGATCGGTGGTCATTAGAGAGTGACCACAACATATACTCACTGTCCGAGGGTTTGAATCCCACGTTTATCTTTTTGTGTTCCTGAGTAGGAAACGTCACGTTAGCCGCCTAGCTTCAACATCCAGACCAGACAAGAGAGGGTGAAAGAAGACGGACAGATAGATAGAACTTCATTAAGGGGAAGAAGGGAAAGAAATTTCCTGGAAGAACCAGGGCCAAAAGTGTGGATGGATTCTGAAGTGAGGGATCCTGCGGGGACTGACTCCAGGCTCCTCCACCGACGAATGAACGAATGAATGAATCAATGAATTCAAACTTTAACAAACGACGGTGACATTTTGACGTGACCTCAGCAGATGTCTCTCTCTCTCTCTCTCTCACCAGCAGAGAGGTTTTAACTCAGGTCAATCATTACTGAGGACGAACACCTAAAAGATGGGACTGGACCTCAACACACGCACAGGTGTTTGCTTAGGAGGAGCTGAGGACTGACCACATGAACTCTGCCCTGACCCCCCCGCCCCCCGCCCCATGTGTCAACTTTAGAGAAAAAAACGCAGTGACTGTTTGATTGAATAACTGGAGATCTTTCTTTAACTTTTGTTACGCCCACTGCCCCCCCCACACACACACACCCACACACCAGCTCACAACCGCGGGTGTGGGGGAGATAATGTTCGTATAAGAGACTGACCTCGGCATCCTGCAGGTTCCTGAGCTCGCTGCGAGTGTGTGTGACAGGAGACTGTGAAAAGATAAAGACAAAAAAAAAGAAAGAGAGAGAGACAGAGAGAGCGAGAGAGGGAGAGAGAGAGAGATGGACGACTAAAAAGAAAAAGTAAAAAAACTCAGTGAGGACGGAGACAACGCAGGTGGAAATATTGGGACACTGTCTGGGTTTGGGGACAACATTTAATCCTTCTGTTGTGGAACGTTTTTGTTTTTTTTCCCACCATGCACCTCTCTGGACTTGTGCAGCTCTGGCTCTTGGGGTCACTGATGCTGACGTGGCCCGTTTCTGGGCTCATTAGGATGCATCCAGAGTCCACTGGTACCTCAGCTGAGACTGACCACGGTCACCACAACTCCAGCGTTGAGGAAGTGCCCATTGTGACCTTTAAATGGCCTCACGTGAAGACGCCTTATCTGATTACACTGTGGATTTTTGTGGCTTTTTTGGGAAAGATGGGTATGTCAAACGCCAGCGGAAAAAATACTGAACTGGAGTGAAATGAATGTACCTGTTGACCTGGACGTTAGTCCAGGAATGGAGTGTTCATTCATGTCAAGGCTCATTTCTCAGTCAAAGATGAAACATTGACCTGGTGTCAGTTAGAATTTAGCATTGACTCAATTCACATGTTAACTTTTTGCCCATTTTTGGGTAAAAATCTTCTAAGTTTCAAAATTGAAATCTGAAAATTTTTCAACTAAATAGCTTAAAGTTGAAGAAAAAAGTTAACTCTCAGTAGATAACAATTAGTCAACAGATATATAAATATATATATAAATATTACACATATATGTGTGTAGGGTAGTACAGAGAAAGCTACAGATTTTTATGATTAGCTTCTGGACAATGTTAGATTTTAGGCAGGAGAACGCTTTAACCTGTTCATAAATAGTTTAAAAAATAAAATAAATTTAAAAAATCATTTTAAATTGGTGAATAATGGCAAGAAAATCCTGTTAATATTTTGAATCCAGCTTTATTTCAGTAAAGTGATCCAAACGCATCATATTTCACTTTGTGATTCAAGAGCAACATGATAAATCATGATGTTTTGTTTTTTTTTAATCTGGAAGCCAGTTCCTAAAAATAGCATTTGTTAGTAACTATTTCAAAGGCAGACGCTCTAAACTGAGCTCCTCCTTCATTGTAACAAACCATGATAAGACACTTTTTTATCTGTGAGGTCAGACACAGATTCGTGTGTGTTATAACACTCACTCCCACTTTACAGCTCACTCTGGAATTTTACAAAAATTCCACATATAGTTTAGGACGATGATAGCGTTCATCTAGAAACATCACAGACCAAATCACAGTAAAAATAAAGATCTATTTAATGTCTTATACTTCTGTATAATTCTGGTATTAATTTGGGCATTTTGTTTTTACACTTGCACGTAGTTACCCTTACTCACCTGCAGGTGGTGGTAGGCACACCTTTGAAATCGACTATGTATGTGGAGCTGTACACCTGAGCTTAACTGTTAAAATGAAATCTTGTTTTTTATAAAAAATAAGAATAGCAAATATGAAAACTTTTAAAAAAAAATAAGAATAGCAAATATGAAAACTTCGTCCAAGTCCATTCTTCTTCGTTTGTTTTGTTTTTTTTTTTTTTTTTTTTTTTTTAACAGTTTACAACATACTTTGTCTTTATGACCGTTTTTCTGGGTTTCGTGCCTACAACCTGCAGTGGCCAGAGTTACATATTTGAGTCCCACACATCAACCAATACAAACACAGCAGTTAAACACTGTCTAACTCGGCCACATCCTCACAACCTAATCTTAAACTACAACTTTTAACCTGTCACTGGATGAAAAAGTGTTTTTTTTTAGCCTTTGCTGCAGTTCATTAAGTCACGACGCCTTGAGCAAAAGCCAGTGTTTATTATGCACACCGACTCCTGAGCGTTGTTTGGTGTACCACTGTGGTTAATCATATTCTCTCCTTCTCTGAAGGGGAGAACAGTTGATCATTGGTAAAAAAAACAAAAAACAAAACAAAACATTGCAGCAGTGCAGGAGTTTCTGATTAGTAACAAATGTAAAAACACGTCCAGGTTAAACACACTAAAGTATAACGCTACTTCTTCTTCGTAGTCATCGAGGCCAACCACCATGTGACCAGCGTGATCCCCGAGAGCGCCCTCCTCATCTGCTTTGGCTTCATCCTGGGTGGAATGATCTGGGGCGCGGACAAGAAGCAGACGTTCACGTTGACACCGGAGGTTTTCTTCCTCTACCTCCTGCCACAGGTCATCCTGGACGCCGGCTACACCATGCCCAACAAGCTCTTCTTCACCAACCTGGGCGCCATCCTGATCTACGCCATCATCGGAACATGCTGGAACGCTGCCTCTGTGGGGCTGTCACTGTGGGGGTGCCACGAAGGCGGAGCCATGGGTACAAGAAGATTTACTGACCGTGTTGTTCTGGCTAACTTTCTGTCTTTTGTTAGCATCAGCATTTTTAAACAACAAGCTGCTTTCATACATACAGCACTCCTGAAAGCGAACTTATCTTTCTGTAAGGATAGTGACACATACAACGAGCAAATTCATAACTAGTCAGAAAATTATTTTCATTGGCATGTTCATTATATATTATATATATTTATATGATTGTTTTTTATATTATTTTATATATTATATTATTGAATTTCAATTTTCTTTTACCACCCGACATCCTTCAGTTGTCACTTCTTTACGTCCTGTCCCCTCCAGTCACCGGCCTCTCTGTCTGCTGCAGGTGACATTGAAATCGGTCTGCTGCAGTACCTTCTCTTCGGCAGCCTCATCGCCGCGGTGGACCCTGTGGCCGTCCTCGCCGTGTTCGAACAGGTTCACGTCAACGAGGTTCTCTTCATCATGGTGTTTGGGGAGTCGCTGCTCAACGACGGCGTGACAGTGGTCGGTTTCTCCCTCCTAATGTACGGGTTGTGAATTTGAAAAAGAAGATGTTCGTTATCTCTGTCCCTTCTTTTTTTCCCCAGGTTCTGTTTAATGTATTTGACGCCTTTGTGTCATTGGGAGGACCTAAAATTAACGCTGCAGAGATTGTCAAAGGAATCGGTAAGACTCCCATTTCAAAGACCTATAACTGAGAAGGTGTCCAGTAATATGTCTTAGTTTGACTTTCATTTCGAAGCCTCCTATTGGATGATTCATTCATTACATTTCTCTCTGAAAGGATATTATTTGTCTGTGTTTCACCCCAGTGTCCTTCTTCGTGGTGGCGTTCGGTGGCTCCCTCTTGGGGATGGTTTTCGGCCTGTTGATTTCTCTTCTGACCAGATGCACCAAAAACATCAAGATCATTGAGCCGGGCTTCATATTTGTCCTGGGATACCTGTCCTACCTGACTGCGGAGATGCTGTCCCTGTCTGCCATCCTCTCGTGAGGACCTCGTTTCTGCCTCGAATCGTAGACAGGTATCCATACAGAGTACACGGCGTGGTGTAATGTACAGGCCTTTTGTTCTGCAGGATCGTCTTCTGCGGAGTCTGCTGTCAGAAGTACATCAACGCAAACATGGACGAGAACTCCGTCAACACCGTCAGATACGCCATGAAGGTTCTCGCCAACGGATCAGAGACCATTATTTTTGTCTTCCTTGGCATCTCGGCCATTGACAAGGAGATCTGGGTTTGGAACACGGGCTTCATCCTCCTCACCCTCCTCTTCATCATCATCTACAGGATAATTGGTGAGAAAAGATTGATAATTAAGGATGTCCGATATTTTTGGCTAGCTGATATTAGTCTAATTATGTAACGTGTGTCCCTGTTCCGTGCAGGCGTCTTCTTCCTCACCTGGATCCTAAACAAGTTCAGGCTGGTCCCCGTAAGCTTCATAGATCAGGTGATCATGAGCTACGGTGGCCTGCGAGGAGCTGTCGCCTACGGCCTGGCTGTGATGCTGGACGAGAGCAAGATAAAGGAGAAGAACCTGATGATCAGCACCACCCTCATCGTTGTCTACTTCACTGTCATCTTTCAGGTGACTTCACTGCCCACAGGCTTTTAATGGCCCACATATTGAGTACACACTGTGGGCCACACCTGGACAGACCCATTTGACTGACTGTGTCTCTCTCTTTTGCAGGGAATAACCATGAAACCTCTGGTCAGGTGGCTGAAAGTCAGGAGAGCCAACACATCAGAGCTCACGCTCATAGAAAAAGTTCAAAACAAGGTAAATGAATGAACCTTCATTCAACTGTCCCTCATTTAGATCTTTATTCTAAAAGTGGTTTTCATCTGGTTTAGGTGTTTGACCACATGCTGGTTGCCATAGAGGACATTTCTGGACAGATTGGACACAACTACATGAGAGATAAGTATGTGAAGAAACGCCGTCCGACAATCTGACTTTGTCAACGTGGAAGAAGCTAGATTGTTTTTTTTCCCTCCTTGTCATGAAGGTGGAAACACTTTGAGGACAAATGGATGACAAACGTTTTGATGAAGCCATCGGCGAGGAAGGTGCGAGATCAAGTCTTCAAGGTCTTCCACCGGCTGAATCTCAAGGATGCTGTCAGCTACGTGGCAGAGGTGAGAGGGAAATGTGTTGATGTCAAATTGAACATTAACCATTTTAGTCACACAGTACTGATGGTACCGATGGAACTGATGGTACTGATGGAACTGATGGTAAACTGATGGTACCGATGGAACTGATGGAACTGATGGAGGTGTGTTTTCTTCTGCAGGGTGAACGTCGAGGCTCACTGGAGTTCGTTCGCAATGAAACTGCAATCGTGGACTTCAAGAAGAAGATTGGTGAAGATTTCACGGAGGTGATGCCTGACATCATGGCCGACACGTCAAGTGACTACGACGCCATGACTGACATGAGGTGAACAAACGTTATAATTCCGATAGAATTATATTATAATAAGCTTCGTTGTGCTTGACTGACCTGCATGAAGTCCAGATCTGTTTCCTGTAGATTGACAATACCAATTTTTTATTGGTTTGATGTCCTGAGTTCACATGACAACAAAGGTTTTGAAGAAAATATTAAGTTGGTTATCAATTATTTTTAGTTCTTAATTTCACCCTTCATTATCGACCGCTTATTCCCTTTTGAGGCCACGAGGGGGCGCTAGAGCCAATCTCAGCTACCTAGGGGCGGTCTACCAACATTTGCTGATTTTATGGATTTTACTTTACTTGATAGTGACCCCTGGTGACCATTTGTGGTCACAGTTTTTTGTTGGTCTGATGACGTCAGTCTTTTTCAATCCTGCAGACAGTTTGTGCTGTAGCATGACAACAGTAAACTTTCCCCTGCAGAAGAGACCCGGTGCCGTCAGTCAGTCTGGAAATCCATGAGCAAGGCATGAAGGGTGTGAGGGAAACTGAGGATGTCAACACCCACCACCTGCTGCAGCAGCACCTGTACAAGAGCAGGAAACAGGTCAGCACATACTGTTCCAACTCCCCTCCTGACTTCATCAGGATAAAGGTAAAAACTGTTTGTTTTTTTCCTCTGGCCTGTAGCACCGGCACAGGTACAGTCGCAGCCACTTCCACGTCAACGAGGATGAAAAAGAGGTGCAGGAGATTTTCCAGAGGACCATGAGGAATCGACTGGAGTCCTTCAAGTCTGCAAAGATGGGGGTCGCCCCACCGAAGACCATTTCCAAGCACCAGAAGAAGGACCAGCAGCAGCAGCAGAAGGTCTGTGTCTGGGAACTCCACTGTCATTGAATATTATTGATAATAAAATAAATTAAGAGAAAGGATCAAAAATATTAAAATGATTCTTTTTTCCCTTTTTCCTCTGCAGATGGCAAATGGAAAACAACTGGACAAAAGTAAAACCTACAACTCTGGTGACGAAGGTTCAAATCTCATTCGTCTGTGATTTAAAAAGAAAAAAAATCAACAAAGAAAATGAATGCATTCATGAGTGACTCATCACACTGAAGTTCTCATTTCTGCTTTTTTTTTTTAAGATTTTGAGTTTTCAGAAGGAGACAGTGCCACTGGGTTTGAAGCATCAGGGACTTCCTCCCCCTGGAGGGTGACATACAGAGCAGGAGGTGAAGGAAATGGACTCTATATAGGAAATGGATACAGTTCATAAGTCAATACGTTTACTATACTAAAAGTGGTTCTTCTTTCAAAGTTTGAAGACACTTTTGGAGTCAAGTACAAACAGAACTCAGTTTCTGAATGATGTTTTGTTTGTATTTGTACATAATGTAACCACTCAAGCTCAAAAATGATCCTTGAAAGTTCTTGAATAGAGAAAATAACTCTCTGTGTGATTTTTACTTCTGTTTTCTCCATCCAGCTGGGATCGAGAACCCGGCCTTCATGCCCGACATGGATCTCACGGACCCTCTGCAGGTTCCACCCTGGCTGGCAGACACCGAGCTGGACAGCAGCAGCAGCATGGTGGCGCCCTCTCAGCGGGCCCAGGTCAGGCTGCCGTGGACTCCCAGCAACCTGCGTCGCCTGGCTCCACTCCGCATCAGCACCCGCTCCACCGACTCCTTCATGATGGCCGACAGAGAGGCCACGCAGCCGAGGAACGAAGACGACGAGCGCTTCCCTCCTCCTCCTCCTCCTCCACCTGCTCCTCACAGAGATGAGGGCCACATGTAGCAGGATGCACTGCAGACAAACTCAGACTTTGCACCGACTGCCTTTAAAAGATTGACCAGCGAATGTTTTTCTTTCCATGTGCCGTTGTGTAACCTTCGTTTTTCCGACCAAACACTCACAGCTCCATGACCATGGACCGTTCCTTATGTTGTCACCCTTCACTGAGCAGAAGGAGAATGTGTCCGTCTGTCTCTGTGGATGTGTGTATGTACGTCTTCGATTAATCATTGAACAAATTCCTCCTGTCAAACTGTCCGTATTTATTCATTTATGTTGTTTCACTTCACCTAAATCACCTTTACTCCTGTAATCTGAATGTTAATAATATTACTTTTTTGTTTTTTTTATCTAATATCAGTGAGCTCACTGCTGTGAGGTCAGATGTTCTACTTGAAGAGTCAAACCACTGTAAAATGTGACGTATCCAAAACAAGGAATGCTGACATTATATTTTTACACCAAAGAAGCTTTGTGCTCCTCAGAGCTGGCATGGTTTTGTGTGTTTGAGTGTTTAAATAATGATTATATAAATAAAGAAATTAAATAAAAGTGAACATCCAGAATTTACAAAGGATGAAAGAAAAACTCTGACTTCATCGAGGCTGATTTTGAGATTATTCTTTAAAAAAGATTTAAAACAGGTTTGATGTTTTTATTAATATTACAAGAAGCACATGAATATTTTAGTGCAGCTCTTTTAAATTTATTTTAATGTAAATTTGATCAATTCTTATCGTTGTTTTGTAACTTTTCTGGAGGTAAAGAAAGAAATTAATTTCGTTATCTTTTAATCTTTAATCAAATGCTTAATTATAAAAATATACTACATTATAATATCATTGAATAGACGTTTAAAACGTTTTTAAAATTAAATTAAAGAGAGTAGTAGCCCAGCGCTGTGGAATAAAATTAACTTAAATGACAATTTATAGCTGTCGATGAAGTCATTTTGTGATCCAAGATGGCTACCTGCGGACTTTATGGGGGCGGCCATCTTGAATCCCAGGTTTTCTACGTGAGCCCAAAGCAGACAATCTAAAACAAACCTTTGGCATTTTTACGATCTCTAATAACTAACACGATATCACGCAAATTTACAACCCCTTTTTGTCACATAACGACGTTTGTAATAGATCATATTTGCATATATTTAATAAATATAAAATCAATTTATTTAAAATGTATTTATTGTGGTTCCTTCAGGAAAACAAAAAGTAAGAGACATAAAAGAAGCTCATTCTCATTCAAATAATTTTGAACATTTGTATTTAATTTGTAAAAGGAGGTTTTATAAAAATTGTACATATTAAATTAACTTTATCATTCGGTACAATGAGTCATATGTTAGTAAGGAAATGTACAATGATAAAATGTTCTACAGTTTATATTACATCAGAAATAGTCCATTTCACAAGCTTCCAGATGATTGGTCACATAGTCCAAAATGTGTTTTTCATTTGCTGCCTCCTTCAGGTAGAAATGAGAACCTTCCAGCATCCTGATGGTGAAATCTCCAGAGGTGATGTCTTTCCAAGCTGCCCATGTAATCAATAAAAAACAAAGACGACTCATTATGAATTCTTTTGTGGTTTCTTATATCTGCTCTGCTGGAGTTGGTATTTTTTGGAGTTTCTCATCTGACCTTGTAAGTCATGGGGCATGTCCTCTTTTCCATCAAAACAGGTGACAGGGCAGGAGAGGAAGGGCTTTTCAGGCTTGTTACACCTGTAAGGGAAACCACACAACGTTGTGAGATGTTCAAACGACCATAATGTTATTGGAATAAATCCCAGGTTAATATTGATTGATTTCATCCCTTAGGTCAAAAGGACGGGTACCTGTAGTTCTCCACGATGTGCAGATCGGCCTTGAGGGCAGGCAGAAAAAGCTGTAGAATTTCAGGGTTGGAGAGAAGCTCAGGAGGAGTTCCACCAATTGAAGTCATCCATTTGAGGAAGTCGTCATCGGACAAATTGCTTCTTCTTGGAGTTTTGATTCTTATCTCTGACTGAGAAGGGAGGACACGGAAAAACAGACAATATAACACTTTTCCTTTTCCTGCCTTTTTGTCTCAGTGAACAACTGAAATCCTTCTTTGTGAAATACACAGTACAAGCAAAGATCAATTCATTAATTTTGGTTATAAGTTTTAATTTTTCTTAAATATCTTCGCAGACCTTATGGAAGGTGTAGAACATTTACTGTAAATGACTCATTTGAATCATTTACATAGTAGCGTAGCAAAAAACTCAAATTATATCATCTGGAATAAAAGTGTAAATTTTTTTTCTGCATTTCACTTCATTTGAAGCAGATTTATGAAATGAGTGTCATTTATTTGGATGCAGTCATAATCAATTCTTAATCAATTCTTCTCATCTTAAATTATTTGCCAGTACTTTAGAAACAAATTCATTTAATTTAAAGAATATGTGATGTGTTATTACACTCACATAAGGTGCTGAGGCTCCAGACAGGAAGATGTGAACTGGCTCCAGGTTGTGCAGCTTCTTCAGGGCATCAGCTACGGCAAAACTGGTAAAGGCACCAAAACTACAGGAGGGGGAGGGTGGAAGTGGGGGTGAGGGGTGTGGCCATAAAACAAATAAAACAGACTTGATTTCAGAAAGGAAACAAAATGAGCCGAGGTGTCACACTGTTATGCAGATGTTAGTTTGTTGTGATGTTACCTGTGGCCAAAAAGAGCGAATGGCTTCTCTTTCAGTGCTGGCAACAAAACGCTGATGACCTCATCCACGATCTGCTGCATGTTTTGAAAGCATGGCTCTTTGGCTCGAGCCTCTCTTCCAGGAAGTTTGACAGCATATACTAGAAAAAAAGGCAACATTGTGATGAATACTGTCCAAATTCTGTATGTATTCACCATATATCCAGCAATCTGTGAAGAACGTTATTCAAATATATACACTATGCAGGATAATAACAGACCACAGGTGAGTGTGGAAAGTTATTTTACCTTCCACTGAACTGCTGAGGACGTTTCCCCAGCGAGCGTAGTGTATGGAGCCTCCACCTGCCCAGGGGAAACAGATGAGCCGGGCCACAGCTTCAGGCCTGGTCATGAAACAGCTGATCACCTTCTCCATCTCTACACAAGGGACAGTAAACAGTTATTAAACAAGGGCTGTTAATAAATGATAAATAAAATGTATTGCGAACCTATATGAGCAACTAAATCATTATTCACATTGTTAATTGTTTCACTGTTTGTTTCAAAAAGATAATTTTATTTCTTTTTAAAAAAGATAGATACAAATTATTAAATAAATAACCATTAAACGTCATGTTTATATTTCAAATGTTGAAATGACTTATTATATGATTTATTAATACATTTAATAGAAAATAAAAGCTCGTTTCTAAACAGACTTGTCCTGTTTTTAGATGACCACATCAATGTTCAGGTTGTACTTTTATCCTATTTAAGGTTAACGTCATACTTAAACAAAACAATACAAACGTATTAAATTAAGTGTAACAAAACACACCCGGAACAACTCAACGACCCTACAGTACGCAGTACGCAAATAAACTATTTTTAGAGATATGAAATCAAATCAGTGAAAGAGTCTTACTTTCTTCTTACACATTTAATCCAGCAGTTCCTGCTTCTTTTTCTTCGGTAATCTGTCGCCGTACCTCCAAAGACATGTAGGGATTTAGAGACATCTACAGGCCGAGCTACGTAACTGCATGCAATATTAGAGTTAACTCCTTTGAGTTTAATGTGAAATATGATCCCCAGATTCTTACGTCAGTGAAAATATTACAACACGTAGATTGTACTTTTTTCATTTCATAAAATATGACAAACTTAATCAAGAGAGGAAAAAGTTGATAGGAAGTGACGTTCTCGGTATAGTTGATATGTCCTGACGGGTTTCCTTCAGTTAAGAGTGAACACACCTGTCAAGTCCGACATAGCTCACATACCGGATGTTGACTTCAGGAGATTCAGCATTTTTTAAAATGTCTTTATTGTATTTTCCCACAACTGATTAACGAATGATATTTATACAACTTGTGACAATTTGATGATTAATGTGTGTAATTCTACACAACTGCCACAATATTTGTACACCTTAAAAACTTAGTAGTAATAAAAACCACCCCTCATGCCATCACAGATGAAGATCACAATAAATTGTCAGCTCCACAATTAACGTTTCCGTTATTTTTTTATCGCAATGTGATCGAATTAACACGTTATTTTTTTTATCGCAATGTGATCGAATTAAAATCGGCTAAAATGTACATACAGCATAAAACTATAGATTATAAATAAACTTGCCTTCATTTTAATAAACGTTGTGTTCAATAATTCCTGGCAACAAATCAGATTTGAGAACGTGTCAGTGTTGCTTTTATTTTGAAGAGTTATTTCGGAAAAGTTGACATTGTCTTCCTGTTGGTTTGACAGCAGCGAGGGGAGGAGGGTGGTGTAAAGTACAGATCTCAGACCGGTTTCTCGACGATACTGAGGAGGAGTACTCCGGCGAAGTCAAGTCTCTAAAACTGGTCGGATAGAGAAGAACGCCGGAGTGTCATCGGCAGACACGGGGGCGACGAAGACAGTGATCGAAAAGGTAAAAAAAAACGTCCACTGTCGAGCCCGAAGTTTCCAACATTTCTCGCTACTTGTTGTGAGCTAACGCTAGCCGACGCTGTTAGCCGAGCCTCCACTGCTGCTGCTATCAGCGAAATTCAACCAAACTCCGTCTGTGAACTGTTTAAACGACCAAATACTCAAAATGACCGAGTTTTTCTCCTCTTAAGTTACCAGGAAGAATCTTTGGAGTAAGACAGCGAAGAACTTCGGTGAAACTTTGAGCTGTCACTCAAGTCAGAGAGACAGGACTTCCAGCTGAGGGGACCCCGGAGCGGCCTGGCTGTTGATCCGACGACGAAGCCGGGGGAGCCGGGGAGCCGAGGAGAGCGTCGGCCCTGTAGAAGTTTTACTCCGCGAAGAGGCAAAGAGTCAATCGCAGGGTGCCGGGTCATCCGGACAGAGACCTCATGAATGGAAACAACAGGTGGGATCCGCACACTAAACAGCCAGTGGCGTGTACAGCCAGTTTAGAGGTTGGGGCGGATGGTCGAAAATAAAATCGTTATTTTAAAGCTGCAGTAGGTAACTTTAGGACATTGTTGGTGGTGTTTCTCTCCTGCGTCTGTTTGCTAACTATATCTGACGAAAGGCTCTTGTAAAGAACTTTCTTTCTTTCGCAGCTATTGTGAATAAATGATGACATGTCATTGGTTTGCAACATGTCTAGGCTAGAGGCACCCACAAGTGCCGTTTTTATAGCAGCTTATGTCAAATACTGCTGGTTCTACATGTACTCGGTGGCAGGCTGTGGCTTTAAATAAGTGCAACTTAACCTTTCAGCTATAGTGGTTTTTAAACTTTTTAGAAACACTTAACAATGATAAAAACCTCTAGAGTCATTCCTGTTGCTGCTTTTTGATTGAAATGGCTAATTTGACTACTGAAGGTTACTGCTGGCTCCAGTTGTGTCTCTTAATGAAGTGATTGTTAGATTAAATATGAATTACTACCCACTGTGCCTTTAGCAAGCATGGTACAAAAAATTACTAGTATGTGATTTGTATGTATTTTAACGAGTATGTATTTGTCCATTATATTCATGGGAACCTGTGTCAGACAACTTATCGTTATTATTTTTTTTAAATAATAGGTCAAGAGGTCATGGTAGGTCACGCTGTGTTTGAGTGGCCCCGTTGAATCTCACTGAATCTCACACTCTAGACCAGTGACGTTGTGCTTGACCTAGTTTTTGTCCATGACTTTGAACTTTCCGTCACAGTTTGGACCAATAAATCAAACTGAGAATAAAAAGCCGTGACGTCAGGATGGTTGTAGTATCGAGTGCAGTAGCAGCGAGGCGTTCAAGTGCCCAGTCAGACGTTAGATTATTATACAAACTCTTACATCCTGGTCTAACAGATACACTTTTGTCTGTTTATAATTAGACTCCACTGGTCACTTCTCTGACTCTGTGACTGTGGGAGTGTGTGTGTGTGTGTAGAACCAGTCTCTGTGGTTTCCTTTTCTACGTCATCTCTTTGTCATCTGTCACAGGCAGGTGGCGATCCCGCCAGGTGTGCCTGAAGTTTAAGAGTGGCTGGATCGCCCTGGCCCTCCCTAGGAAGTGTGTGTGTGTGTGTGTGTGTGTGCGTCCATGTGCGTCTGTTTGAAGGGCAGCCTTTCACACCATATGCTGCTGCCATAGTAACCTCAACTGCCAGGTCATGTTCAGTTAACCACTGCCTCTTTTAATTACAAATCAATCCAGTGAGTCAATTTCCTCACCAGGCCACGACCGCAGTCTGTGAGTCAGAGCGTGTGCAGTGGAGGTCAGTGGAGAACTGGGGCGAGGGAACGGTGGACAAACTCAAACTGAGATTTTCAGTTCTACTGCGTTTCATCGTAAATGAAACTTAATTAAGGAAAACATTTCAGTCCAGTAAACATGGCCAGGATTCCATCTTTGTTTTTGTTTTTTTCCAAACAGAAATTTTCTAAATGAAAACTTCAGATAGTTCGAATTGTTATGTTATTAAAATTGTTACTATTTCATTGTTTATGAACCACCGACCTCTGACTCTGATGCAGGTGACGTCACGGTTCACTGAAACAGGATTACAAAAGCATTTAGGACACCAGGGTCTAAATGCTGTTATCACGTCTCGTCTGACAGATTCATTCTGGTCAAAAAACCCCTGAGTTTTCAGTGTGAATCATATGATGCGGTGTCTGGATGTGACTGTCAGCTGTGGGTGGACGCGCTTGTTGCTCACCTGTAACTGAACCGTGGAGTTCGTGGGCCGTTATTCACAGCGGTTCCCCCTAAAATGAACACTCATTTTGTTTCCCATTTTGGCTATTCTCGTAAAACTTCGATACGTTTCCTGAACACCAGGAGGAACTGCCTTGTTCCTGCCTATTCAAATAGAGGCTCGAGGTCCACAGAGTGGCCGGTCTCTGATCTTTTGAGAAATGCAGAAAGAAAATATAAACGGCGAGTTGCATTTGTACAGTAGAACAGACCGTAAATGCAACACTCTCTGTAGCCTGGTAACATAAACATCAGTTTAATCCTTGATTAAAAACGACGTGTGATTTATAGGATATTTCTGTACGTTGTGGCAGCGCTCTGAAATGTGAGAAAATATATTTTGTTTCAAAGAACTTGGTCCTGAATGTTCTTAGTATTTTCAGTCATGATTATCGTTGTATATAATTGACATGCTGCGGTCAGTCTGCAGCCACAGGAAATGTCCATCCCAGCAGATTATCTTAGTTAATAATCTCAAATTATGGTTGAACATCTCTGCTCCAACTCTTGTTCTTCGACTGCCATCGCGTCACACCTGTTGTTACTTACGCACGGCGAGCTGCGCACACGTAAACGCAGACTCAGTGTGGCGTCGTGGTTGAAGTGTGAGTGAGCGTCGCGTGGATCCTCTGAGTCACTCGTCTGCTGTGGAAATTGTGTGGTTCTGTTGTGTGATGTCATCGTTTTCTTTCACCAGTACTTTCCAGTTTGGCATTTGTGAAAATGAAGGGTGAATTTTTCTCCCGCCCACTCATTTCACTTCCACTCTGCCTGGCAGCGGCCGTCGTGAGTCTGATGAGCCGCTCTTTATTTTAAATGTCACCCGGTGCCTTGACCTTTCAGGCCGTCTTGATCTGATTGTGTGTGGAGGATGAGGGTGGGGGTTGGAGTTGGGGGGGAGGTCAGTGTGGGTCTGTAGATTCCAGTTATCACTTTGATCAATGTGGGACCTCCCTGACTACGTCCCTGCAGCCGTCTGTTCCTTCCTCCTCTCTAACCACTTCCTTCCTACAGTTTGTCTGTTTTACCAAGCTGCTGGTTTACTTAACGGAATCGTGTTGTTTGGTTTGGACTGCACTGAATGCTGGGTAAATGATCCTAAATTATAGTCAATGGTGATAGGGGCTTGATTTAAAGAAAAAAAAAGAGCCAGAGTCAAGATGATCATTTTACACTCTTCCAGAGGTAAATGACAGTGAGGATTTTTCAAAGGAGAGTTCAGATTATTTCAATGAAAGGTTACAGAGTCATCGCCACGGCGACAGCCTTGAATTTGGGTTGTAATCCTGGCTAATCCACCGGGATTAATCAGAGCTGCATTTTCAGTAACGCTGTTGCTGTTTGACTTTGTGGCTCGATCATTATTATTATTTTTTTTTTTTTGGTGAATGTTTGTCATGATCATTATTATTTTTTTTTTTTATTTTTTTTGAATGTTTGTCACCGACATTACTGACAACTGAAAATGAATGTGTTCCAATTCATATAACGTGGGGAGCAGTCTTAAAGGGGCAGAGAGGAGCAGAGGGGGTGACGAGCAGCTGTTGTAACAGCTTCACCTGCTGTGGTTAGGGTTCGTGTGTGTGCTCACCTGTGGCGTCTGTGTCTGGACATGAGACTGTGCTGTTGTTCCTGTTCAGTCCTGTGCTTTAACAATGCTCTTCTGACCCCCCCTCTCTGCTCCCCCCGTCCCAACCGACCTTGTTGTTGCAGGAGCCGCTGGAACCCAAGCCCTCTTTGCGTTGCCACGGCGGCCCGGCTATGGCAACATCGGGAAGCCCATCAAGCTTCTGGCCAACTGCTTCCAAGTAGAAATACCCAAAATTGACGTCTACCTCTACGAGGTGGACATCAAACCGGACAAATGTCCTCGCCGAGTCAACAGGTGAGACTCAAGCCACTTTAAAAAAATAAAAAAAAAATTTTAATTTCTCCTGTCGTTGTGTTTGATATTTTTAATGTGGACTCAATTTCTGGAGTTATGTCTGACAGATGTGTGAAGTGTCCGTGTCTCAGTCAGCTGACATGTGACTTCTGTCCTGCTCGTGTGACTTTGTTTATTGCATCATAAATTGTCCTCAGGAAGCGACAACAGTTTGATTGTCTCCGCTGGAACTCTGAAATATAAAATGTGAGCGTGTGTCTTCTCAGGGAGGTGGTGGACTCCATGGTCCAACATTTCAAGGTGACCATCTTCGGTGACCGTCTGCCCGTTTACGATGGGAAGAAAAGCCTTTACACTGCAAATCCACTTCCTGTGGCCACCAGCGGGGTACGCTGCGCCTTCGTGAAAGTGATTTATTTGTCATTGCACAAAATGTGTTCTCATCCGGCCCACAGTCCACCTGTTTGTGGACCACAGGCTGTTTTTGTGTTTTAGTTTGGTCAGCACGTATAAACGGCTGCTGATCCCGTGTCCTTCTCTATCCACGCAATTTTTGTGTTTTAGTTTGGTCAGCACATATAAACATCTGCTGATCCCGTGTCCTTCTCTCCTCTACAGGTGGACCTGGACGTTACCCTGCCAGGTGAGGGCGGGAAGGACCGTCCCTTTAAGGTCACCATCCGGTTCGTGTCGTTGGTCAGCTGGCACATGCTGCACGAAGTCCTGACAGGACGCGGCGTTCCCGAGCCCGTGGACCTGGAGAAACCCATCAGCACTAATCCCGTTCACGCTGTAGACGTGGTCCTTCGACACCTCCCCTCCATGAAGTGAGTGGGTCCACGTGGACGTCGTCAAACACCGTCGTCCACATTAGCTCCATAGGTTGTAGCTGAGCCTCATCCTGTTACACTTTAGAGCAGCTTCTCTTCCCGGTGAGTTTTCCTGCTCATGAAATATGAGCTGCCGATACCTGCAGCCTGGTGGCGCTGCATGACTCCCTTAATTTATTATGCAGGATTTCAACCACAACACTGTTACATACTGTAACAGGAGCGATTCGGTGACGACTCGCTCATGAATCCGTCCTCGGAACGTGGAGCCTTGAGTTTTTATTTTTCTTCCACCTCCTGTGGTTTCACGCCTGTCGCCCGGGGCAGCGGGTGTTGATGCTGAAGTCTGTGAGCCTCACGGGGGACGACAACAAGTCCCACAGTGTCCCTGTGGGGGAAGGATGCTTATATTTGTCCTGTGTCCTCTCAGGTACACCCCCGTGGGTCGATCTTTCTTCTCCTCTCCGGAGGGCTACGACCACCCACTGGGCGGAGGAAGAGAGGTCTGGTTCGGTTTCCATCAGTCGGTGCGTCCTGCCATGTGGAAAATGATGCTTAACATTGATGGTGAGCTTCAATTCTGGTCAGATTTAAATATATATATATATATAATAGGTGCCAATTTAAACAGAAGTTAAAAGAAAAACACTGAACAAAAATGAACTAAATCTTTATCATCAACATTATTTTGATTATTCTTACATGAAGTCCTGGTCTGTAAAGTTTTGTCCACGGTCATAAATGTCCACTCTCTCCTCCTTCTTTTTCTCCTCAGTGTCAGCCACAGCCTTCTACAAAGCCCAGCCGGTCATCCAGTTCATGTGCGAGGTCCTGGACATCCACAACATCGACGAGCAGCCCCGCCCCCTCACCGACTCCCACAGGGTCAAGTTCACCAAAGAGATCAAAGGTTCCCGCTCAGCCGTGCGACGTGTTCGCAGATCGTCAGAGCGTCGGGTCGGCCTTCACTTTTAATCAGCTCTTCGTTCCCCGCAGGTCTGAAGGTGGAGGTGACCCACTGTGGAACCATGAGGAGGAAGTACAGGGTCTGCAACGTCACGCGACGTCCCGCCAGCCTTCAGACGTACGGTTTTGTTTTTTTTTTCCTCTGCGTTTGAGTCGACGTCGTCAAAGACGACTTCCATCGACGTGAAGTTTTAATCTGTGAAATGTTTCGAACTCGCAGGTTTCCACTGCAGCTGGAGAACGGTCAGACTGTGGAACGCACAGTGGCCCAGTACTTCAGAGAGAAGTACAGTCTGCAGCTCAAGTATCCACACCTGCCCTGCCTGCAGGTGGGCCAGGAGCAGAAACACACCTACCTGCCCCTGGAGGTAAGAACAGACAAGACATGAGTCTGAAAATGATTTTTTTTATTTGATTAATCAAAATAAATCAACACAAAAAAATTGTTTTGAATGCGTTAAAAATGTTTATGTAATTCAGTTTTATAAAAACTCAATCCTGCATTTGTAAATCTAAAAAAAATCACAGGACGTCTGATAATTTCGGCGTCTGTTCTTCATGCCTGTTCATTTGTTTCCACTTCCAGGTTTGTAACGTTGTCGCCGGGCAACGCTGCATCAAAAAACTGACCGACAACCAGACGTCGACCATGATCAAAGCCACAGCTCGCTCTGCACCGGACCGACAGGAGGAGATCAGCAGACTGGTCAGTACCCTGAAGACCACCCAGACTGGACCGGACCAACTGGACGTCTCACACCCGTAACTAAGACTTCTCCTTCCTCCCCCCCAGGTGCGGAGCGCCAACTACGAGTCCGACCCCTTCGTCCAGGAGTTTCAGTTCCGCGTGAGGGACGAGATGGCTCAGGTGTTGGGCCGCGTGCTGCCGGCCCCCATGCTGCAGTACGGCGGCAGGGTGAGCTCTGAACCATTTATGGTACCTTCCCTTTAAATCACGCTTCATACACATGTGTGTTTCAGCATGTCTCAGTGTGAACCTGCAGGGTTTCCTCCGCTCGCTCACCGCTGCAGCTTCACTGCCGATTATCAAACAAAAACAACTCCAAAATGTTAACTTCAACTCGCTCATTTCTCCGTCTCTGCCTTTTTTACCAAACAAATACACGTAGTGACGGTGTTGAAGAGGGGAACCCTGTGATGAGTGTCTGCTGATTGATCTGTTCAGTGTTTGGCAGCTCCAGAATGCTTTGCTTTGATTGTAACTGATTTTTTTTCCTTCAATTTTTACAAATCTTCATTTTTCTGCATCACATTTATTTAAGTCTTCTTATGCATGCGTTCTTTTTTTTTTTTTTTTTTATGAAATCATACAGTAAATGCGATTAAATCAGAACTGTGTTAAACTGTTTTGCACTTCTGGTATGAAAACCAGGTGGAAGTAAAAAAAATCTGGTTCTAATTCTTCACTCTGTCTTTGTAATTACTGTCTGGGCTCTAAAAACACAAAATGCATTCTTCACTGAGTGTGTGCAGTGTGCTGTGTGCATGTGTGCGTGTGCATGTGTGTGAGTCTAAATGTCAGCCGCAG